ATGTTGGACTCCACCGCTACGAAAGACAATTTGCCTACAAGTTATTATGACGCAAAGAAGTGGGTGTCGAAGTTGGGTTTAAAAGTAAGAAAGATTGACTGTTGCATTAACGGTTGCATGTTGTTTTATGACAATGAGTTTGGTACTCAAGATGGATCGTTAGAGGAGTGTAAGTTTTGTAATAGTCCAAGATATCAAGTTCGCAGTAGAGCCGTTAACAGCAAGCAAAAGCGTGTAGCAGTAAAATCCATGTTTTATCTTCCTATAATACCAAGGTTAAAAAGAATGTTTGCTTCAATGCACAGTGCAAGTCAAATGACATGGCATCATACAAACCAAACAAGTTCTGGCACTATGCGACATCCATCTGATGGTGAGGCATGGAAGCACTTTGATCGGACACATCCAGATTTTGCTGCAGAACCTAGAAATGTCAGGCTTGGATTATGCTCTGATGGATTTGCCCCATACGTGCAAGCGTCAGGAAGTGCGTACTCTTGTTGGCCAGTTATTGTAACACCTTACAACCTCCCTCCTGAGATGTGCATGACAAAACCATACATGTTTTTGACGTGTGTTATTCCAGGCCCGCACAGTCCAAAAGCCGGAATTGATGTGTACTTACAACCTTTAATTGATGATTTGAAGAAGATGTGGATTGGAGAATGGACTTATGATATATCCCGTAAACAGAACTTCACATTACGAGCTGCCTTGATGTGGACCGTTAATGACTTTCCAGCATATGGCATGTTGTCTGGTTGGGGTACGCATGGAAAAATGGGTTGTCCGCATTGCATGGGATACACCAAAGCATTTACGTTGGATAAAGGTGGGAAAAGCTCATGGTTTGACTGTCACCGCAGATTCCTACCAGCAAATCACCCGTATAGAAGAAACAAGACAAATTTTAAAAAAGATGTACGAGAGAAAGATTTGCCTCCGCCTCGATTGCCACCAGGGGTTATATGGAACCAAGTATGTGAACTACCAAAATTTACAGATACTGGGAAAGCATGCCGAATTGAAGGATACGGCGTCACCCACAATTGGACAAAAAGAAGTATATTTTGGGATCTTCCGTATTGGAAAGATAATTTGTTGCGCCATAATCTTGATGTTATGCATATTGAGAAGAATTTTTTTGATAATGTATTTAACACAGTGATGGATGTGACAGGAAAAACAAAAGATAATGAGAAGGCCAGACAAGACATGGGAATTTGGTGTAATCGAAGAGAGTTGGAGTTGAAGCCTCAACCGAATGGAAAATTATTAAAACCCAAGGCTTGTTTCAGTCTGACTTCCCAAGAAGCTAAAGCGGTTTGTAGATGGTTAAAAGAATTGAGAATGCCCGATGGGTATTCATCAAATTTAGCAAGGTGTGCTGACCCTAACACTGGAAAATTACATGGTATGAAAAGTCATGATTGTCACATTTTTATGGAACAGTTGCTACCAATTGCATTTGGATCGCTACCCAAACATGTTCTTGACCCACTAACTGAAATTAGTCAATTTTTTAGAGATATTTGTGCGTCAGCTTTAAAAGTGGAAGACATCATTAAGTTGGACCAAAACATTGCACTCATTCTTTGTAAGTTGGAACAAGTATTTCCGCCTGGTTTCTTTGACTCCATGGAACATTTACCCGTGCATCTTGCATATGAAGCTTATCTTGGTGGACCTGTTCAATATAGGTGGATGTATCCGTTTGAGGACCCAGCAGTCCACGTCCGGCACAGGCTGCAGGATCCCGCGCCCCACGTCCTAGACGGACCAGAGGGTCACGCACCCCTCATCCCACACAGGCTGCAGGATCCAGCACCCCACGTCCTACACAGGCTGGCGGTGATGCAGATGTCGTAGCTGATGATATAGATGGAGCTGATAGTCGTGAGAGATCAGATGATCCGAGTGAGATTCATGTAATTGACGGGAGGTTTTGGATTTGGCCCGAAGGAAGCAAGTAAGTTTCTTATATAAACTTTTATTTAAGTACATATTCATTTTAATATTTTGTATAAATTTATAATTAATATTGTTTATTCAAAATCTTGTTGTTTAGTTTCGCGCCGAGTCGGACGGCTGCCAAGGTTATTAATTATATAATCCAGCAGATGTATAAATCCTCTTGGAAGAACTTTGGCGAGGTTACAAATAAAGAAGAATGGTTTAAAAAATTTAAGGTATTGTTATTTATTTAAGTTGTAAATTTATTATATTTTTTTAGTATTGTTATTTAAGTCACATTTTAATGATAATTGCTTAACTTTTTATTTTAATGTCATACAACATTGCAGGAAAAATGTGTGTGGGATCCGTTGAATGAGAAAATAATGGAAAAAATATATTATAGCAGAACTTCTAGAAGATTTTCTGATATCATGCGGCGGGTTAGGAAGAATTATGAGCTGCATGGTATCCGTCCTAACTGGATAGGCGTAGAGGTTTTTGGCGAACTTCGTACATATTAGAGTTCGCCAGAATTCAAGGCCAAATCCGAAAATTTTAAGAAGATGAGGGCATCCGAAAAGGGGGGATGTGTCAATACTGTTGGAAGTATTAGCACTGCAGAGCATGTCCGGCGGATGGTAAATATTACTAATTTTTTAAGTTATATATATTTTTATTCATAATATTTTTTACTAATTATTTTTAACTTTATTGTTTAGACTAAGGAGATGGGGAGACCACCGTTGATCATTGAGTTGATTACGAGGACTCGGACAAAAAAATCGGGAGGTTTTGTCGACGACCGCACCCAGAAAGCTTTTGTAAGTAATTAAACTTATGTTTTTTTTTAAGTTAATAACAAAAATAGTGACGTTATTTCCACGTGGCAATCTATAAGTTGTGGCGTGATTATCATGTGGCAACTGATAAATTGCCAGATGACTGATTTTCATATGGCAACTGATACATTGCCACGGGAAACTCACGTGGCAATTCATAAGTTGATTTGTGAAAATCACGTGACAAATTTTTAATATATTTGAATTTAGTATAATTTAATATATAAATGTTTTAATTTTTTTTAATTGTATTATTTAATGTATGTGTAGGATGATTATCAGACATTGCTAGCACGTTTTCTGGAACACAATCCGCAATATAGGCCAGCAGAGGGGGAGCCGCTTAATGGGGATGTTGATTTCTATATTTGGAATGAGGTTGTTAATGGAAAAGGGCCTAATGGTTGCTTTTTTGCGGGAGGAAATTTGGCCGCCGGCTTGAGAGTTGGTGATCGTAATCTGTTTCAAAGACTTAGAGATGGAGAAGGGGGGTCACGTCAACCCAATCTGACTCAGGTTCAACTTGAAACAGTACGACAATTGGCGGCCAGTGAAGTGAGACGCGAAATGGAGGCCCAAATGACGACAATGAGGCAAGAGCAGGAGCGTCAGTTAGAGATCATGCGGAAGCGGCAATCTGATATGGAGGAGCAGATGAGACAGTTTATGCAAGGCGGTCGAAATCAAAATGTTCCTGATCATACACAGCCGGATGATGACGGACTTGATGACTTTGATCTTGATAATTTTCCGGGTGAAGATGCCCCGTGAAAACATTTTTTTTATTTCGTTTTTATATTTGCATTTATGTAAGATATATTTATTTTTATCATTTTAAATTAATAAATTATATAACATTTAATTATGTGAATTTATTTTATAAAATTCTATTATTCGAAATATAAAATAAAATACTATTATTTTAATAATTTTAATATATAAATTTTATTATATAAAATTTATTATATAAATTTTAATATATAAATTTTATTATATAAATTTTATTATTTAAATTTTATTATATAAATTTTATTATTTAAATTTTATTACATTAATGAATTAATATAAAAATTAATTATTAACAATTTTTTAAAAAATATAAACGTCCCCTGTAGCGACGTGGGAATCATGTCACAAATTAGTGACATGATTCTCACGTCGCTAATAAAGCTGTCATTAACAAATATGTAGCGACGTGAATACCACGTCACAACTTTGTGACGTGGGAATCACGTCGCTACTTGCTTGCCACTTACTCCCCAGCGACATAACTCACCACGTCGCTAATTTTGCCTTGCCACGTGATTTTGATGTTTGCCACATGATTTTCACGTGGCAACTAAGCTTCTTTTTTGTAGTGATATATATATATATATATATATATATATATATATATATATATATATATATATATATATATATATATATATATATATATATATATATATATATATATATATATATATATATATATATATATATATATATATATATATATATATATTGTCAATATCAATTATTTAATAAATTTAAAAAATATTAGTGTCCTCAAATGGATATTATCGGTAAACAATTAAACTATTTCATTTTTATTATATGTTTCTAAAAATGATTTGAAATAAATATAATTTTTTAAAAATGAAGAAACAAAATCCCTTTTTTAAGGGAAAATTCAATTTTTCCTTCTTTTTGATAAAATAATTTAAGAATAAAATGGTGGAAGAGATTCAACACAGAAAATTTAGGACTCAAATCATTTTAATTGAATAGTCAAATTATTTTAATATTACTACGAAAACTAGAAAATTAACATTTTTGACAAAAATTTGTGACGGAATAAATAATTTTGAGACAAATTTCAATTATACAACAATAAACAAATAAATACAACAATATTTTTAAGAATATTTTGGTATCAATTAAAAGGTAAAACTACAACATTAAACAAGGGTTAGAAAAGTCTTTTAACAACAATAATCCATCCATTCTCTATTATAAGTAAAAAACTGATTATTTTTATTAAATAATTAATATTGTTAAATAATATATCATTATTCAATGAATTTAAAAATAATAAAAAATTTATAATAAAAAACAAAGAGCGATTTCTTAAGGAACATATAGATTATAAAACCACCACTCAGGTCTGTCTATTGAACACTCAAAATTATTTCTCGAGACATAATTATCTAGATCAATTAAGAGATGGGTGAGGGAAGATGCAGTGGCAATAGCACAAATGTTATTACAATGCTAATATTATGTATGTTTGTGTTTCATCCTAAGATGATCTGTGCTGAAATTTTCACTGTTGGTGATGGCCAAGGTTGGTCCTTTGGTGTTGAAAATTGGCCTGCAGGAAAAACTTTCAAGGCAGGTGACACACTTGGTAAGCATGAAGCATCCCTTATTGTTATGAAATTCAAATGCATTAAAAATAAAAAAGAATTGTTGTCATCTAAGACATGTTTTGTTTTCTATATGCAGTGTTTAATTATGCTCCTGCCCTACACAATGTGGTGAAAGTGAGTGCGGCAGATTTCAATGCATGTGTGCCTAAACCTCTAAGTGGATCAACAGTTTTTACATCTGGAGCTGATAGAATTGTACTTGTTAAGGGAACTAACTTCTTCTTATGTGGTATTCCTGGTCACTGCGGTGCAGGACAGAAAATTGCAGTCAATGCTATTTAAGCTCTTAGTTAATGTCTTGTATTTCTTAATAAAGTTTACAATGATTTATATTCTTAAACATGGTCTCCTTCGTTGCAATATGTAATGTGATATGTTATTTTCCTATCTATATTTAAAAAATAAGAAAAGTAAGAGTTGATTGGACTTTGATGGTGTCGATCCTTGCTCCTATATTTTTGTTATTCTATTTTTTCTGAAACAAGTGATTGTCTAGTGTTATCGCCTATCAGATATTTATCTTGATTTTAATCCGAACAATAAAAAATTTACAAACATAAAGTTTTAAATTAATTAACACTTAATACTAATATCTAATTAATTATTTTAGGGTCAGAGATAATTTGATTAGTTAATTCATAATCGCTATATTAAAGAAGGTAATATTTGACCTAATCCCATTTTAAGATGAAAAATACAAAGAATTGTGAAAGGATGAGTAAATGATTTTGTAAATAGTGTTAATGTATAAAAATATAATAACGGAGATAAAATATGATCTAATCGCGGATCACATTATATATATATATATATATATATATATATATATATATATATATATATATATATATATATATATATATATATATATATATATATATATATATATATATATATATATATATATATATATGAGAGAGAGAAATTGATTAAAATAAATATATTAATTATAACTATTAAATGTATTTCATAGAAGCAATATGATATATAAATATATATATTTTTGAAAAATTATTTATCTTATCTTATATATAAAAATGTATTTGAATCAATTTGTTTTCACCATTACGGTATGTTTAAAGAGTAATTTATCGTAAAAAAGAAAAATTCTAAAAGGAAATTTTTAGTAAACACACCTTTATGCAATTTTCATTTGTTTTCAAACACATGTTTAACAATTTTTAGAGCTAAATTTGAGGGTAAAATTATAATTTTATTTTTTTATTATTTATTTCATTTATTTAATTATATTTTCCTTTTCAATTATTTTTTCCCTTAAAACTATCTTTATTTCATTAACTTCTTCTTTTATTTTATTAATTTATCAAACCCACGTTTTTTATTTAAAGGTAAGTTAACTATCTATTTTTATTATTATTTTTTCTTAAAACTATCTTTATATCATTAACTTCTTCTTTTATTTTAGTAATTTTTCAAATCCACGTTTTTTATTTAAAGGTAAGTTAACTATTTATTTTTTTATTATTAACTTAATTAATATAAAGGTTATTAAATCTCTTAATAATTTTTATCCTTTACTTATTTCTTTATTATGTATTTTATTTATTTAATTATAATTTTCTTTTCAATTATTATTTTTTCTTAAAACTATCTTCATATCATTAACTTCTCTTTTTTTTTTAAAATTTTTCAAACCCAAATGAGTAATACTTCAAGTTCTATATTGTTTAGTCTCTTAACAATTTTTGTAGTCAAATTTGAGGGTAAAATTGTAATTATATTTTTTATTTATTTCTTTATTATTTTATTTATTTATTTATTTATATTTTCTTTTTCAATTATTATTTTTTTCTTAAAACTATCTATATATCATTAACTTCTTTAATTTTATTAATTTTTCAAATCCACGTTTTTTATTTAAAGGTAAGTCAATTTTTTTTATTATTATTATTTCTTAAAACTATCTTTATATCATTAACTTCTTCTTTTATTTTAATAATTTCTCAAACCCGTGTTTTTTATTTAAAGGTAAGTTAACTTTTTATTTTTTTATTATTAACTTAATTAAAATAAAAGTTTTTAAGTCTTTTAGTAATTATTAGAGTCAAATTTGAGAGTAATTTTATAATTATATCTTTTATTTATTTCTTTATTAATTATTTTATTTATTTAATTATATTTTTCTTTTCAACTATTATATTTTCTTCAAACTATTTTTATATCATTAACTTCTCATTTTATTTTTTTTATTTTTTTAAACCTAAATGAGTAATACTCCAAGTTTTATGATTATATATGTTTTGAATTGGACTTGCTCTTGACTCAATTCTTAGTGAGGCTCAATTCAGGTGTGTCAACTTGTACCACTGATCGGTACTATCCTCGAACACGGCAGGCAACTATCACTCTTTCCCCGCGATAGATTGAGGACGCTCACTCCCGACCATGAAGGCTTCGAGGACACCTCAACTAGCTCGTCGACCAATTGATCCCCTATCGACCTCGCGTCTGGCTGGGGTCACCCATGACGAGCAGGCGCTCCCCTCGAGCATCCTCCTCGTAGGGCTGACTACCAACATCTCCGGATATTGCGGAGTCTTCGTGGTCCCAGAAAGATCGCATTCATATCCTTCTGACCTTGCGGAGGACGTCATCCAAGTAGGAGAGTACGTGCGGCTCCCCACTACTCACGTAGGACCTGGCAGTCTCTACGTTTGGCCTGTTTGACCATCCCAATGAAGAGACCTTGGCCCAGCGCTAGGGGCTATAAATACCCTCTTTTTCGAGAGGGTCGGCTATTCAACACTTTATAAACTCTCATACTTGCTTGCTCATTCCCAAACTCATTTTGGCATCGGAGTGTCTTGCAGGTACCCCCCCCCCCCACTTCACTCTCAACTTCTGCTCGAGCTAGCTGTGACGGTCCATTCTGGTCAGGTACGATCAGTGGCTCCGTCTGTGGGAATCTTGCTTCCCCGTCTTCCATTTACTCAAGACTAAAGCTAAATCACTCTTTCGACTGTCATGGCTGATCAAACAGCAGAAAACAACTTGAACGTCCGCATTGTCGACGCCAACACCAACGTCGTCGACAATCTCAGCATCGACAACGCTGGTACTTTTGGCCATAACACATCCCCCACTGTTAATATGCCCGGGCCTTCGGAATATAGAGACGGAGCAACTGCTTCGTCATCATCATTATCTCGCCGACCCGAAGACGATCGGCCATTGTTGTACCCCAAAATTTGCCCTCTCATTTCATCAACATTTCTCATCACAAGACTCTTGGAACTCAATATCAAAGCTAGGGGTTGCTCTGCTCAAGATACCTCCTTGCACTGTTGACCTAAATTAGGGTTTGAGTTTGCACAGGGATGTTTTGACCCACAATGCCCAAAGTGACTTTCATACTTCATGTTGGACTCACAAGTTTGTCCATATCAAGTTTCAAGCCTTGATTCAAATTTTTGCCCAATCAATTGGACAGTTGACCTAGAAATCAACTATATTGGGGGAAAAGTCATCTGTGGCCAATTGACAGTCAAGCCTCATGAAATTTTACTCACATCAACATTATGAACTCATATGAACCATTTGATCAAGTTTGGATCACAATTCCACAAGAAATTTGATTAGATCACCAAAAGGGCAAAATGGTCATTTTTAGGGTTTTGACTGTACAAGGGCAATTTTTGACTGTTTGACCTAGCCAATGGCAAAACAAGCTCAACCATGGACACAAGGACTCAATGACATTGTCTTGACCCATTCAACAAGTTCAAAAGATCCCAAATGCATAGGATTGGCAGATGAATTTTCCAGTCAACTGATCAAAATTTGATTGTACACTGAAAAGTCAAACTTTGACTTTTTGGTCAAAATCAAGTGCCAAGAGTCATTTTTCATCAAGACATGTCAAATTATTAAACTTGTTCATCAAGAAAACCAAAATTGCAAATTAGGGTTTAAAATGGAAAATTTTCATAACTTAGAAATTTTCTAAGTTATAAAATTTTCTTATTTTTTCCTAACTTTGTCCCATTTTTTCACCAAGAGGAAAATAGATTCAAACAAAACTTGCAACATGAAATTTGTAGTCCATCACAAAGTCTATAACTTTGATTCATAAAGTTTTCTCAAAAGAAGCTTGGATCTCAAGTTATGATTTTTGGAACAAGGGTACCTAAAACTTTTAACTTAGAGAAATTTTGCCCTAGTTTAGGCAGGATTTTGACCCATCTTCTTGGCCATTTTTCACATAGTTCCACTTGGAGTTTAAAGTTTAATTTCAAAGATGGATTATAGTACATGTTGCAAGCTTTCAAAATTATCCAAAAAATCCTCAAACACCTTTGTGGTTATGGAGAATCGAATGCTTGAAGTTGGCAAAAACTCATTTTGCAACCATGGCCAATACATGTTCATGCCACTTGCAAATCTGATCCAGCTAGCTTTGTACACAATTACAGGCCTCTAAACCAATTTGTACTCAACAATTAAATACAAATCCATTGGTCTAAGGTTTTGTTTTGGGCATTAGAGGATTGTACACAAGTTTAATCCCTAAATGGTAAAAGGCACATTGCCATTTTTGCAAAAGGTTGCTTTATGTCAAACCACTAATCCTTGAGCATAGAGCCAAATCTATTGCAGCTAAACAAATCCATTAATTAGAGGGGCCAAGAGGATTGTATGCAGGGTGATAAGATGGTATGTACAAGCCTATAACCTCACTTCCACTTTCTTGCTTCAAAAACAAGAAAACTTGTCAAACACAAGGCATCTCACATATCTGATAAAACCAACTAAAACAAAGTTGTCAAACAAGTTTCATACACTCTTGCAAGCCATAAACACGAGCCCTTGACCACTAAAACCTCCTTGTGCACAAAATCCCCATTTTCTTGCAAAACATGGCCAGTTCTGCATATTGCAAGCCACATTCAAATTCCCTCGTGCGTTTTGTCCAAAACTACTTCAAACACATTCCAATCAACCTACCTGAGCTATCCAGATCATTCACAAGTTGTTGTAAATCCATTAACACACATTGCCATTTTTGTTTGGAAGCTTTGTAGGTTGAGTTCTGTAGCACGATTTAGGCCACCTCAAAACAATCCAAGCATTGGGAAAGGTTCAGTGGACATCAGGCAAGCTCAAAAGAACCTCAAACACCATCGGAAGTTGCTGCATTGTCCAGCATGAAGTCAACTGAAACAGGTATTTCATGAACTTCTATATCTCTATTTAGAAATAGTTAGAGTTAGGTTTGTGAATGAAAGATGTTGTATTCATAGCCCTGAAACCATACATGTACT